AATCGTTATGCCCTGAGTCATAATCTTTTAGACACAGTATATAACCAAGTAAATAAATTCATACAAGATTTAATATCTCAGTCAGAAACTTTTGTTCTGATGACAGATGGTTGGTCTTGTGTAAGTAATGATTCACATATACAGATTATGTTAGCTACTCCAACTCCAATATAGATCAGAAGTATTCATCCAAAAGAAAACTCCCACACTGGACAATACATATTCAATCAAATTGTTGAGATAATTGAAGATAAAAATGTTATATCAAACAAAAGAAAAATAAAAGCTTTTTGCACTGACAATGCAGCTAACATGGTAGCAGTTTGGAAATTAATAGAAAATAAATATGATTGGATGTCAGCATATGGCTGTTTTTCTCATGGCCTAAATTTATTAGCTTGTGATCTTGCAAATAAGAACAAAATAATTTCGGAAACACTGAAGCAAAAACAACTAGTTAAGTTTTTTAAAAGTAAGCACAGTCTAAAAAGTATTGTTGAGCGTTGTAGCTTACACTCCTTAAATAAAAGTTTTATTTTAATTCTTCCTGTAGTAACAAGATGGTCATCACAATTTTATATGTTACAACGCAATATTCTACTCCGTGATTCATTGCGACTGGCAGTAACTGATGAAAAAGCACAAAAGTATCTTGACAAACATAATAATAAAAAAGGAATTGACTTAAAGGAATTAGTATTGAATGAAACCTTTTGGAAAAAGACGGATTTAATTTTCAAACTTCTGAAACCTATATCAGAAGCCATTTTGGAATCAGAGAGTGATGCAGCTTCAGTATCTATTGTTCCACAAGTCTTTTTTTATGTAATAACTGAGATATCTAATGTGTTGCAAAACTCAACACTTTTGACTTTACATCAAAAAGAGGATATCATTTCTTGCATTAAAAAGCGTGAAGACTTTGTTGTAAGTCCGATACACTTTGCAGCAAATTTACTTGATCCAAGATTTGTTAGTCAAAAGTTAAATCATTCAGAAATGCTTTTAGCTGAGCAGCATGTATTCAGAACAGCTGAAAATGAAACACTAGCCACTGATATAATATTGGATGAATTAATGAGTTTCAAAGCTCGTAGTGGAATATTTAGCCAGGATAATCGCAGCTATATTTGGAAGCTTAATGAATATTGTAATCCAGTCACAGAGTGGAAAGCATATGCACCAACAACATTATTGAATAGAATTGCATTAATATTATTGTCTTGTAACTGCAGCATTGCATCTGTTGAGCGTGCAAACAAAGAGTTTTCATTGCAAAAATCTAAAGTAAGATATCGCCTAACCGATACAAGAGCATCAAAGCTTTTATTTATTGCTTATAATTTGAAAATGCAGAATAAATTGGCTAAACGTAATTCTAAAAAGATAAAACATTCATGTTTAAAAACAAAAAACATTGATGAAAAAAGCCAAAAAAATCACAGCTGCTTATCAATCGATAATGATGATGATGATGATTATGATGATAACGAATACGATAGTGAGTATTCAAGTGAAGATAGTATTGACTTTCACATACAATGAAAATGGCTAAGCATTAACGTTTGCAAAAACATGCTATTTTTTTATAATAGTCTAGTTGGGGAGTTTAAATAAAATATATATATAAAATTATTTTTTTATTTTTATTTATTAGTTAAAAACCCACTATACAAGTAAGCTAAATTAAAGTTTAGTTCAGGATAAATGAAAAATCTTAAAGTTTTTTTTTTTTTTATCAAGATTTTCATTCAAACATGATCATCTAGGAATTTTTTTTTTCAAGAATGTCCTTGAAGATTGTTTTTTTGTTCCTTTGAGTTCCAGAACTCAACTGCTCATTTTAGAGTTTGAAGATCCGTTTCAGGAATTACATCTATTAAGTCAATGATTTTTTTTTTTACTTTGCATTATTTTCTCTAGATTTAGTTCATGACTATTGCACAAACCTTTGACACTACCTAAAAAAGGTTCTGAAGCTGTTTTGTTTTTCAGCTGCTACTTTACAATATTAAATGTCATTTTATTGCTCTTCAGGTGAATAAATAAGTTTAGCTTGTTTTGTTGTGTAATTATTGATACATACTCAATAAAAAATAAGAGATGAATAGAATTTATGCAATGTTTTAAAACGTTAAGGAGTGACTTCAGTGCGTTTCTTCCAACTATATCAAGCTTTTGCATTAATATTTTTTTATGTTCACAAAGCCTAGACCATAAGGTAGTGGAACAACCAAAGTTTTATATAACTGGACAAAGGAATTTGGGTGAACAAAACGGATTCCAGATTGAATTAAAGTTTGGATTACTGCCCGGATTTTAGGAAAGGTGTCCCATATAAAGCCTAGATGACTTAATTTATCGTGAAGTTTTATTTGTTCGATATTGTGCGGTTTTTAATTTGCTTTTTTCCGGTAAGTATGAGCTTGGTTTTGTCAGCATTCAATTTTATGCAGTTTTTGTGTATATATTACAAGTATTAATAAGCTTTTGTAAAAAAATTCCAACCCTATTAAATACTTAAAGAAAGATGTATATATATATAAAAAGATGTTGTGCCTATAGAGGTAGCATGTTTTTAATAAATTTCTTTTTTTATTAGATTTTAAACGACTTAGAAATTTTAAATAAACTTAAAATTTAAACTTTCTCCAAAATGTCTTGTGGTTTTTAGTTTTTATGTATTTAAGCAAAAAAAAAAATGACAGTTATCTCATTTTTAAGAGATTTGATGCTTAATTCTTTGCAATTTCTTTAATACATAGTAGTAAATTAAAAATAAAAATTCAAAATTTCCAGAAATTTGAAGCAAATATTCCCGGAAAATTTCCAGAAAATTTTCAGAAAATTTCCGGAATTTTCCGGAAATTTTCAACCCTATATATATTCCAGTTTTCTGGATCCATAAAATACAGATCTTTTTTAAACCTACCATTTCTATACTTATCTATTCCACACCAATCCTTTCTATACCTATTTATTGTTACCTTTTGCGCGTATGTAGGGCTTATAAGAGATTTATAAATATGTTTGATTTAATATATAACACATATAATTAAAAGCTCTTGAAAGATTTTATACTTAACACATATAATTAAAAGTGTTTAAGTGCGCTGTCATCATTGTCGTTTGGGGGTTACATAAAACCCTAATATATATATATATATATATATATATATATATATATATATATATATATATATATATATATATATATATATATATATATATATATATATATTAGGGTCCTGCAAAGCTTCGAAATTTTGAATCGAATCCGATTATGATTCGATTATGATTCCGAATATGATTCCAGATACAATTCGAAAGTTTTTAAAATATCGAATCCTTACTTTTTTTTTTGTGTGTTGGTATTAGATATTCTGTGCTTTGGCACAATCATAATAATTTTACTCATCCTTAAATACCTTTTAATCATTCATTAAAAAGGTTAACCAGGGCAAGAAGCATCAATAAATAGATTATTCAATTATTTTATTTTATTTTATTTTGAAATATATATTATTAAATAAAAAATGCTTTAATTTTTAGTTTATATTATAATATTATTAAATAAAAAATGGTTATATTTAAACATTATAATGTTTAGAGAATACATAAAAAATAAATAATGCAAACCATTCAAGAACTTTTATTAAACAAATCATAATATAGGACCATTATAAAATTACTTTTTAACTTTTCAATTTTTATGATCAAAATAGTTTCAAGATAAAAGTGTTAACTTTATATTTTTTAGATACCTTATCAAGTCAAGGAAAAATTAGGTAATAAAATATGTTTAAAGTTTATGTTTACATATGTATACATATTATTTTTAATAATGTGATGTTAGTTTTATGGTAGAAGAAATTATATAAAATTTTTTGTAATTACAGTTAATCTTGTATCTTTGTAGTAATACAGTGAATGGTAATTAAACGTTGAAATTGTTCTTATAATATTTTTCACTATATATATACCCTTGATATAGTTCATTAAAAAAATCTATTCATCAACAATTTGTCCAAATAGATAAAAAAAGATTGAAAAGTTTGATACTTAATAACTTTACTTAATAAGTATATACTAAAAAAATAAAATTAGATAATATAATGTAACTGATATATTAAAAACATTGTAACATTAATATTTAAAAAATAGCATTTAAAAATATGTTTAATTTATTTGTATTAGTTAGATTCTTTATTGTCTTTTTGGTAAAAAACTTGAATGATATTATTGGTTTTTTTTAAAGTTTTTTTTATCTGTATTTTTAATTATTTTTTGTAACAAAACAATTCAAATTGCCTGAAAATGATTGAAAAAGAAGGATTGAAAAAACTAAGGCAAATTCAAGAAATGTAATCAGCATAGAAAATCACTTGGAATCCTTTAATTTTCTTTTTATTTTGACATTCTTTTTATTAGTTTTTATTTTGACATTCTTTTTATCATTCAAATTTGTCTTCAATATTTGAAAAAGTTATTATTTAATTATTAATTTAAAAAAATTATTTTAAAAAAATTATATATTTTATCTTATTGAGAGGTATTTTAATACTTTATATATTATTTCAATATAACCTACTAAACTTGTACAAGTCTTTCAAATACAACCTACTAAACTTTTACAAGTCTTTCAAATAAATCAATCTCAAGGAAACAGGAACACTTTTTAAGTCTTGGTCCTCAATACATTCCAACTCAAAATAAAATACCATTTTTTGATATTATAGCATTAATTGTGAAATGCGCTTTAAATATATAAAAAAGATGAACATAGAAAGAGCTAATTTTTTATTACAGATTGTCAGCCAAACATTAACCAAATATTTAAGAGTGAAAATAGATGTTAATATTTCTAAAAATCAACCTCTATGTATCAATAAACTAAAAAATTTAACAGCTTTAAACTATATCCATTTGATTAAGATAATGTGTTTGTCATTTATGATTTAAAATCAGCAATACAAAGAAGAGAAGAGCAATTTGGGTATTTTCTAAATCCTACTGAACATACCCTTACTAAATTCAAAAAATTTTTCAGATAAAAAAACATTTGGTCAAATATATCCTTCAAATGCAATTCCACCCCGTTTATATGGTTGTATTAAAGCACATATAAGTGAAAAAGGTTGTTTAATTTAAACAATAGTTTCAACATTCGGCACACCACCTCATGAACTTTAGAAACATCTTGTTAAGATCATACAACCATCTTTAAATAAAAAAAGAATACCGTTTTAAAAATTCATCTTCATTTGTGTCAACAGTAAAAGAATGGTTTATTAATGACAAAATTCAGGTCTTATTTGATGTTAACAATTTATATCCATCTGTGCCACTTTATAAAGCAACTGTAACAATAATTGATATGTTTAACAAAGATAGAAAAAAACTAGTACAACAAACTAAGTTATCTTTAGCAGACATTCATAAACTTATTGATCTTTGTACTAGTAAGTGTTACTTATAGGGATTAACAAAAGAGTTTCAAATCTGCCTGTTACCCCTACCTTTACCCGTAATAACATTTTAAACCAAGTCTGCAGGGTTGCTGCTAGCAGATTCTGATTGCTTTTTAAATTGTCCTAACATTCTGCATCTTATTTTATTGTCTCATTGAAAACAGTGTCCTATTTGACCAATTGAAATTAGCAAACACCAATTCCTAAATTATCCAACTCTTGTTTGATTATTATAATCCTATTGCCTTAACATGGCATTATGCACAGTTTTTAAATGAATTGCTGACAAGTTCATTATTAACCACACCGATCACATATGGGTTTCAAACAAACAGCTTAATTTTTTTTCAAGATGTAGTATAATCTATGCTATTTTAACTGCTAATATTATTGAATATTATTTTTTATAAGTTAATATCTATCTGTCTTAATTCCTGGATTGTATCATACTTATGTTACAATCCAGGAATTGAGACCAAAAATTAAAACAAATGATCTCACCACTGACTGGAAATGCATTTAAGCTGGTGTACTTCAGGGTGGTGTACTCTTTTAATTAATAGCTCCATATCATAAGAATTAATAAGAATTATAATTGAATTAATATTGACCAAAATCAGAAAAACTTGAGTATCTGGAGCTGCAGTAGATTTTTTCAATTTTTACCAGATCATAACACAATTCGTTGATAACACAATCCGTTGATAACACAATCCGTTGATAACACAATCCGTTGATAACACAATCCGTTGATAACACAATCCGTTGATAACACAATCCGTTGATAACACAATCCGTTGATAACACAATCCGTTGATAACACAATCCTTTGATAACACAATCCGTTGATAACACAATCCGTTGATAACACAATCCGTTGATAACACAATCCTTTGATAACACAATCCGTTGATGACACAATCCGTTGATAACACAATTCGTTGATAACACAATCCGTTGATAACACAATCCGTTGATAACACAATCCGTTGATAACACAATCCGTTGATAACACAATCCGTTGATAACACAATCCGTTGATGACACAATCCGTTGATAACACAATCCGTTGATAACACAATCCGTTGATAACACAATCCTTTGATAACACAATCCGTTGATAACACAATCCGTTGATGACACAATCCGTTGATAACACAATTCGTTGATAACACAATCCGTTGATAACACAATCCGTTGATAACACAATCCGTTGATAACACAATCTGTTGATAACACAATCCGTTGATAACACAATCCGTTGATGACACAATCCGTTGATAACACAATTCGTTGATAACACAATCCGTTGATAACACAATCCGTTGATAACACAATCCGTTGATAACACAATCTGTTGATAACACAATCCGTTGATAACACAATTCGTTGATAACACAATCCGTTGATAACACAATCCGTTGATAACACAATCCGTTGATAACACAATCCGTTGATAACACAATCCGTTGATAACACAATCCGTTGATAACACAATCCGTTGATAACACAATCCGTTGATGACACAATCCGTTGATAACACAATCTGTTGATAACACAATCCGTTGATAACACATTCCGTTGATAACACAATCCGTTGATAACACAATCCGTTGATAACACAATCTGTTGATAACACAATCCGTTGATAACACAATTCGTTGATAACACAATCCGTTGATAACACAATCCGTTGATAACACAATCCGTTGATAACACAATCCGTTGATAACACAATCCGTTGATAACATAATCCGTTGATAACACAATCCGTTGATAACACAATCCGTTGATGACACAATCCGTTGATAACACAATCTGTTGATAACACAATCCGTTGATAACACAATCCTTGATAACACAATCCGTTGATAACACAATCCGTTGATAACACAATCCGTTGATAACACAATCCGTTGATAACACAATCCGTTGATAACACAATCCGTTGATAACACAATCCGTTGATGATTTTTTTTGTGGACTTTAAATGAATCATAAGAGTATTTTTTAAGTTCTTCATATCTAGAAATATTTTTCATGGTAACAACATTTCTCCTCATTTCATTTGAAAGTATATCCAATCCTTTGCATTAAAACTTCAATATCAGTATCTTTTAGTCTTATTCTTCCTACCATTCTACAATAATATCATTTCAAACTCTTCCCACATTTTTCTGACATTTTTTACTCATCTAAAAATATTATAATCGAGGGTTAAACATGTAACATCATTATAATCTAAAAAAAAACTTTTTTTATATTTTTCCGAAAATAAAATTGTAAAAACGAAATCTTAAGTATTAATGTGATTAAAACTGTCTAAAATGCAACCAGTAAACTATTTCTACATTTAAATATTTCTGCATACACAAAACTTTTACTTTTTGGTTCTCGCAATATTAAAAACTAAAATAATAAAATCCAGAAAAAACTGTGCCGATTTAGATTATAATACAAACTCTTGAAGTAAAGTATTTTACATTATAAATATTTTTAGTATATCATTATAATTATATTATATGCATAAAATTTAACAAATACATATTATAAAATTATATTAAATAAAATAGGTTAAAACACTGTCAATTTTATTTTAGGAAAAACTGAATATATTTGTTTAGAGAAAAAATAAAAAAATGAAGTTTCTAGTTAAGTGTGAATGTATAAATTGAGTTTCAGTAAAGAAGATTGTAATAGAGGAAGGTAAGGTTTTATTAAGGGAGTCAAAAACAAAAAGAAGATTAGCAAGTTTAACAAGTGCATACAACTTTTCACTTTTGTTAATTTAAGAAAAACTGAATATATTTGTTTAGAGAAAAAACAAAAACATAAATATAAGTCAAAGGGCTACAACCCTTCGTACTTATGCCATAAAAATCCATTGTAAAGTATACATGCCACAATTTCAAGCTTTTAGCAATATTTTAAAAGTACTTTAGAGTATAAAATCTAGACCATATTTCTGTTATAAGTTACCAAATAAAATTGTTGAACAAAGTAACATCAAACGTATAAAATATGATCTTTTGTTTAGCTTATCTGTGAAACGGAAAAATAGTAATCCGTCACACAAAAATAGTACAACAGTTCCAGAATGCGGAAATAACTGTCAAATATAAATAGCACAACAGTTTCATTAAATAACCATCAAATATAAATAGCACAACAGTTTCATTAAATGGAAATATCCGTTAGACACATAGTGAGCTACACCTTTCAGAGACGGATAAATCCGTCAGACACTAATAAGGAGTTAACAACATATTCAATATTAAAGGTTACTCGAAATGCAATTTATGTGTATACACATATATATTGTTTTTGTGTGTACTATATATATGTACATATTTATATTTGACATTTTAATTTACTTTTATTATTTTTTTCAGCACTATTGAATGTCGAATTCCTCATGGTTGTGTTTTTAAGTTTGATTTACTTGAAGATGAAATTTGCAGCGAAGTCGAATTCCAATTAAACAGTGTTGTTAATAATTGGACAGCTATTAATAATAAGAAACAAGCATTTCAATATTATTTAACAAAAAAAAAGAATGCGACATTGTTTGTGAAAGTAGAAAAGTTATTATTTGAAAATGAAACACTTAATTTTAAGTTTTCATTTCAAGGTTTAAAAAAAACATTCTTTCAACATTTTTGTTCAGTTAATATTATAGGTATGATTTATAATTATTTTTTTATTATAATTAAAAATAAAATATCTCAAATCATAAATTTTTACAATTTAAATTACATTTTAATTTTCAATTAAAACTCAAATGCTGTTTTTTCTTTTTTCAAGTTAATTTTGATATTTTTGACCTATTTTCCTACTTTTTTTTTATGATTATTTTGAAAACTTTAGTACTAATTTGAATAAACAGTTTTCAAATATAGTTTTAAATATATTGTTTTTATAACTAATTTTTTTGACTATATATATGTTAATTTTATTTCATTTTACTTTTTACTAGGTAATTGCAACTATGAGTTAATCTATAATGGGTTGTGTGTTGCAACACCTGAACCAATTTCCAACAACGGGTTTAGACAAAATGTAAGAACAACAAATTCTTTGGATTGGAGAGAGACAAACAATATTTGTTTAGATAAAATACCTAATAATAAATCAATAGAGTTAATTGGATTAGATTATTTTAATAGAAATTTTTCTGATTGTAATGATGTTATTTATGTCACTTCTTCTATTGCTGATAATGATAATTTAGTTGCTTCCAAGTTTATTGAAATATTTACTGTCAATTGTACAGGTATACGTGCTGTACTACCTGGTTACCGTTTACGTTATCATGCATCTCTTTTAAAGTGCAATGTTGAAAAGTTTACTAATTATAATGATGAAAATAGAATAACAATTTTTGTCTCTGAACTCAACCTTGTTATAATTGCTCGTGTTGCTACTTCAATATATTGCCTCAAGCTAGAATCTGAACAGTGTTTAAATGATGTCATATTATTTGTTAATGTTAACAATTCTCTAATTGATACTAATAAACTAATTATTTTGGGAGTTGTAGTTTTACCTTTACATGATCGTAAACATTTGAAAGAAGAGTTATTTTATCACTTCTCAGAGGATTTTGATTTAGATAAAATTTTGTTTCTATGTAAAGATGACATTGAAGATGAGAATTTTGAAACTTGGTGGAGATTAGTTGTAGCTTACTGCATTAAAAAAGTAAATCCAAAAAATAATAGTGAAGTACTATTTAAAAAACTCATCAGTTTAACTATGATGTCAATGTCTATAGTTGACCATTGCTATCCCACATTAGAATCAGATACTCAAAAACAGATACAATCATTGGTTCTTAATGTTGAACAAAGAAATGCAATCAATGACAAAGCTTTGAAAAAAATCATCACTGGAGGATATGGTTCAGGTAAATCTATAGTAGGAAAAGAGATTGTTAAAAATTGTATTTCTCATAAGTCACAAAATCCTTTGACCCTATTTTATATATGTTGTAACCATTTTTCATTGTATGAATGCCATATGAAAGAGTTTGTTGACAGTATAGAGAAATCTTCAAATGTTAAGGTTGTCTGTGATAATTTGTATGAGTTGTGGAAAAAAATGTGCAAAAACAAAAGCACTTCAAGCAATTACATTTCAATACCAAAATTGCTAGAGTATTTAGCGAGCACCAACGGTAACAAAGTATGTTTTGTACTTGAAGAACTTTCTGAAGAGTATGTTAAAGAAGAAGATGCAGCTCAACTTAAACATTTGTTTGAATCTATATTAAAAGATTCTTTAGTCGTTTTTATTCCTGAGAGTATTACAAAGAATCGAGAATTGATAGCAAATAAACAAAAGCGTACAATACAAAGAAATTACTTTCAAGAAGAAATAATAGGAATGAAGGTCATATCTCTAAATAAATCAATGAGAGTTACGGAATGCAATAAACTATTAATAGATATTACTCAAAAAACTATTTGTGAAACAAAAAGTGTTTTAAACATTCCAAACACTAACTTTAAAATATTGGAAGAAGGTAAAGAAAATAATTTGTTTAGAGTTAAAGATAAGCAAATTGAGGAAGAGAAAGATTTTCAAAGTTTGCATATGTTGACATATGATTCTAGAAGTAATTCTAAAAATGTAACACCTAATTTTATAGAAAACTATGTAAAAGATGAGGAAAAAATAGATGACACGCCATATTATGACTTAATTGACACCATTAAGGTAAATAAAGATATTAATTATGCATCTGTCATAGTTAAAAAAGATAACAGTTTTGCATCAAATATTACTAATGATGAAACTGTTAATAAATTTAAAGACTCAACAGATTCAAAAATTACTAACAAAACTGTTGAAATTACTAACAAAACTGTTACTAGCAAAACTGTTAAAAACTTTACAGACTATAAATCAGATCAGTCTCCAGAGAAATTAGAAAACAAGATTATTGATACAATTTTTAATGATTTTCATGACAATGATTTAGATTACATGGCAAAGCTAATAACAAAAAGTATTAGTAATATTGATCCAAAATGTCATATGGAGACTGAATTTGTTTTCAAATCGGGTAAAATAGGTCACTCAATTAAAGGAGAAAAACCCAAGGTTGTGTATTTACCTTTTCATGATATAACAGACAAGCAATCTGTTAAATTGTTATCCATTGTATTAGAAAAAATTTGTTTTAATGTATTAAGAAAAACTGTGGTTATATGCAACAATATCGAAGAAGTGCAATCTGTTGCATATGCAATAGATACAATTAAAAATTTTAAAGCAGTAACATATTCACCTCATATGCAGAAATACTCTCCAACATTAGAGGCAAAATTTAAAATTCATAATAATTTAAGAAGTGAACTGGACATTCTTGTAACTGACTGCAAAGGGTTTTCAGGAGCGGAATCTGAATCTGTAATTGTGTTTGTAAGTCCAGAAGAGATTTTTCTTCGTCATGTTCTTGTGGATGCTATTTCTAGATCAAACTCATATTTAACTGTGTTTGTTAAGAGTTACAGTTGTATCAAAGAGCTTTTAAATAGCGACAAAACTATTGGAAATGTATTAAAATTTTGGTCAGAAGAGGTAGTTGAAAAAATTACTGTTGTAACATCTAATAAAGAAAATCAAAAATCAAAAGATGGTTTCTTCATAGTAGATGAGAATTGCAAGGTGTTTATTGATCGTGGATCTACTATTGATTTTGAAAAATACAAGAGAAGTTTACAGTTTGAAGTCTTTCATAAAAATAACTTCATGTAAGTCTTATGTAATTTTTATGTAATATTATATATATATATATATATATATATATATATATATATATATATATATATATATATATATATATATATATATATATATATATATATATATATGTATATATATATATATATATTGATATATATATATATATATATATTTATATATATATATATATATATATATATATATATATATATATATATATATATATATATATATATATATATATATATATATATATATATATATATATATATATATATATACATATCTACTATAGCATATTTATATGCGCAATTGCTCACTTTTTTTGCTAGCCTTAATTTAGTGAGCGTTTTTAGAAAAAAATGAGTTAAAACGAAGAATAATGAATGAAAAGGTTGCTGACCCATACCAAACCCTCAGTCGATGTAGCAGCACTCATTTAGTGAGCGTTTTTAGAAAAAAAATGAGTTAAAACGAAGAATAATGAATGAAAAGGTTGCTGACCTATACCAAACCCACAGCACGATGTAGCAAGTCAGGCTATTTGTCAGTCGATGTATGTACTGAAGCCCCCAGCAGCAGGCTATTTGACGTTAGGTGAGTATGATATCATCATGCTCACCTAACTCAGCAGTATAAGATATATATATATATATATATATATATATATATATATATATATATATATATATATATATATATATATATATATATATATATATATATATATATATATATATATATATATATATATATAGTGCCGTGCCAAGTGGGTCTAGGGCCCCCCCAAAAAAACTTGTCATTAGGGCCCTATTTTTTTTTTATTTTTTTTTTTATAAAGTGAATAAAATTTACAGATTACTTCGAAACATCTGGCTACTTAACATTTTTTAACATTGCTGTTCATAAGACTAAAAACAATCAAATTAACGCGTAAATTCAATTAGATATTTTTTATAATTGTTAAATTGATACATAGTTTACTAGTCTAGAGTTTCTTTAACTAATGTAAATGTATTATGCAGATAATACAAGTCGCAAATCATCAAAAAAAGGGTTTGCGTCGTGTTTCCATGGTTGCAAACTCGTTTATTATGCCTTCATAATTTAATTGTAAATTTTCTTGCAATTTCAATTCCAATCGACACCATTGCTAAGGAAGACAAATGTTCATCGACCATTGTTGACCTATTTAAAGATACAATGAAATATAGCTACATGTATTTATGTATAATTAAGCAAGATTGTTTATATGAACCTATGTTTTAATTAGTTTTAACTTCCTGAAGCTCTGTTCTGCACTTGCAACAGTGACTGGTAAAGTAAGAATGATTCGTAACGCAATAACTAGATCGAGATTTTTTTCAACTCTGTTTTGTAGATGTAGGTTAGGAAATCATGTGCAGATTTAAAAAAAACATTTTTTTCCTCCTTTATAAGAATGACAAATGATTTTAACTCTATTTCTAAATCCTCTGAATCTATATCATTAAGCTTTATTTGCAAACTTTTGCAATATAAAGCTTAATGATATAATACAGCAATATGCAACAAACTTTTGCAATATGCAACAGACTGAGAATTTTAATGGAAAGCTTTGATGAGACTCTCGGATTGGTAAAGAAAGTCAAAAAGCTTTGTGACAATGCTGATCTGTTCAAAACGCTCTTTTACTGATGCAATTGACATATCAATTAGTGGCAAAAAAAAATCTGCTTTATACTGAGTTCAGGTTGCCAAGTGTGATTAACGCACTCGTATGAATATATTGATTTTTTTTTTCGTGAACGCACTATTGGAAAAACCCTTTTAATGTCCAATAATTCTGCTATTTCTGACGCCTTAATACATGCGTCAGAAAATCGATTTTCACGAGACTCATAAAGAAATGAATTTGTTGCCTTTATTTCACAAGCTAAGATGTTGAGAGATACTGCAAGAGACTGAAGCAGCTTAATTTGTTGATTTGAAATAAAACATACTAATTAATGATTGATAATAAGAAAGGGCATGTTCTAATATATTCTGTCAGCGTTTGCACTTCTGTGGCTGTTGCCCTATCTCTCTTTTCTAAGGCATGTTCTTCCGATCTTTCAAGTTCCTCTAAGATTTCTTTTAAATAATAGCGAAGTGGTTTAACACAGTTTATTTTACTTTCCCATCTGGTATATGATTGTGGTTTAAGAGAAGTTGCAGTGCAGGGTTTTAAAATTTCCCATAGAGGAGACGATGAAAAGAGTGTATATAACCTTGAAAGAACACTAAAAAAAGAAATTGCACTGATAGATGACAGTGCACCATCAACAATAACAAGATTGAGTGAATGGTTTACACAAGGAACATAAGATTCTTTACAAGGAACATAGGATTAAGGCCTTAGGATTCATTTCCAGAAACCTTGCTTGAACACCTTCTACCTTTTTCCTTTCATATTAGCACCATTATCGTTAGATTGACCTCGACTGTCTAAAATATTTAAATCCCAATCTTTTGCCTAAATTAAAAATGCATCAAAAAGCCCTTTTCCAGTGGTTTCATTTACTGTGAGATATTCAAAGAAATTTTCAGAAATGTCGATACTTATTCCAAGAGTAGATGTTACTGATCGCAGAATAATGCTTATTTGTTCTTTGTGCGAAATGTCTGGGTAACAATCTAAAATAATGGAATAGTACTTTGCCTTTTTTACCCTAGATAGGTTTTTGGATTTAATCTTCTTGGCTAAAAGTCTAATCAACTTGTTCTATGTGTCATTGCTCAAATAGTGCTCCTTGATTTCTTTGTCCTGAATTCTTTGCATAAGCTCATTGAGAATGGTATCGTACTTAGCCAGTAATTTAAACACCCCAAGAAAGAAACATTGAGAATGGTACTGCTCTTTGAACCTATGGTTGTGTCTGAACCACGGAATGCAAGATTTCTTGCAGAAAAAAATAAGGTAATGTCAAGTATTCTTTCTAACACAGCTTGCCAAAATGTCCGCTCTTTATGAAGCAACTTTTGTTGTCGCTCGTCTACTGTAGCTTGATTTGCTATATATCGCATTACCGAAATTGAGTGGAAAAAATTAAATGAGAATAAAAAAAGTAACAAAACATTAAATTAAAAGGAATATCAGTTAACCTTTTCATAAAGTCATCCATAGATCAAAGCACTTAAAATATGCACTGCATGTTTCGTGTTCTTTAAATTTTTTTGGTAAGCCTTCCCTAGTGTTCATTCATTGCCGGAATGGTGAAGAGGTTATTCCAAAAAGTTTGCAACAAAACAAAACACTTTATTGCTATTGCAAAGAATATATGATCCATGTCCGTTCAAAGATTTCTCCATTCTTCATCTTGCGATTATGATAATTTATTGAAAATCGTCTTCTTTTTGAATTGTATGGAAAATCAATTTCAATTTTTTTGAAACCCCGTTAAACAATGTCACACCATTATGCGTCGGAAACGTTATCTGGCAACTTAGAAGGATCATCACTGAGAAAAATAGGCGGAATTGTTATGCCATTTGATGTAGACTCGCATATCAACCTATCTGACTCTAGTTTCTGTTGGTATCGTAGTTTCTGTTGGTACCGAAACACTTCCAGGCTGAATTGCTGGTTTCAAAAAATGTGTTAGTTTGGGGTACTTTGTGATTTCCTCCCTGGCTGCTTTTTTTTCTCTTCTCTTAGTGGCACCACTTTTTACTTTTTTCAAACCAATAATTATATCCTGAAAAACTAACGAAAGATAATTATAAATTTTTGGAAACCTTCTTTCATTGTTTTATATGATATAAAAAAACTAACATCGCATAATACTAATAAAAAATTAATATGATTAAGACCATATAATTATATGGACTTTAAAATAAACAAATGTAAAGCGTTATAGTTTTTTGATTCTTTACATTTGTTTTTTTTAAAACAATGCCTATGATTTAATTAGAACATATAATATTTTATTTTTTAAAAACAATGCCTATGATTTAATTAGAACATATAATATTTTATTTTATAGTATTAAAGCAAAAGTAATAACATATAGCATAATAAAAAAATAAATTATTAGCAAGACAAATTATGAGTTGCCGAAAATAAAAAATGATTTGTAGTTTAAAAATAAATATTCTTGAAATCTGTAATCTTAATACAAACAATAATATATTCGCATATAATCATAAAATAAGCAAATTAGAGAAATATATTTCATCACACGATTGGCTGCTGTTTAATGGTTTTTTATTAACAGTTTGACAGATTTTTATAAAGCTTGCATTTTATAATAAAATTACTATTATTAAACATTACAAAATGTTATTATTCAAGTTTAAGAATATTTAAATCATACTAAATAAATACAAAATTTTAAAAATGTGTTTACTAATATTCACTTTTTGTATAATAGTTGGAAAAGCATGGTGCTGCTTTTCCAATTATCATACCACCTTCATTGAGCATTGATCTTTTGTTATCATTTTTAATAACCATTCATCAAATATATTTTTTCATTATTGATTCATTAAATGTATAATTTTCTTTCTTTTCGTGAGTAAATATTTACTTTGATAATTATTTTTGCAATGAGATAACTTCCTTATTTGTATTTAAAATTAAAGTGAACAAAAACTCTGTAACTATGTAGTAACAAATTTTGTGAGTAGTAAGTAGACAAATAATTACTGATGAACAAGAAGGAAATATATGAAGGAAATATGGGCATTTGGGAACCACTTTTATTTTGCATAATATTACGGCATGGACATTAAGAAACCACTTCAAGTTTATATATATATATATATATATATATATATATATATGTATATATATATATATATATATATATATATATATATATATATGTATATATATATATATATATATATATATATATATATATATATATATATATATATATATATATATATATATATATATATATATTTATATATATATATATATCAGGCCTTGCAATGAATAAGAACTGCGCGACGCATAAGCACAACTTGATTTTTGACGTCATTA